CCCTAGAAAATGACAAACTCTGGTAGCTGTTAATTTACCATCTGTACGAACAGGAGTTGTAGTTATGTAACCAAATCTAAAACAAACCAGAAAATTGTGTGCAGTAAATATCCCCTCAATGTGGTGATTTTATCCTTAGGGGAGAAAATTTAAATGAGGCTAGTGGAAAAACAGAGAAGTAAAAGCAGAGGAAGAGGTTAGAAACAAGCCTGAAGGACAAAGAAAGATTACACAAACTTGAGGAAGCTGGTGAAGAAGACATAAGGGGAAAAAAGAAGGAAGAAACAGAAACAAGAACAGAAAAAACACACAAAAATACACAGAAACATTGTTCTCACTCATTTAAAAACAAGAACAATGAAAAAAAGACCAAAAAAAGAAACAAATATATTAAAAACCAAAAAAGAAGTAAAGCAGAAAATATATATTCTCTTCACATTGTGTCACTGCTGTCACTGTTTGAAAGAGGGACATACAGAGCCCAGATCTGTGCTGATGACCCCAGCAAGCCAGCAGTAGAATTATGGTGGTGGTAAATATTCCCAGCATACCTGGGACTTTAGTTCTACTGGTGTTCAGGCTACTTCTGCTTTCTGGCTATAATACTAGAACCCAAAGTTTTTAGCCTGCAACACTCTGAGTGACTCCTGCTAGTTTGAACTGGGATCTCTGCTGGCTTGAACTGGGCTCCCTGACTTCCTGCTGGCTTTAACTTGGTTGTACTTCACCCAGACACAGGGATCCACTACACTGAGACATTCTGCAGCTGCTGAGTTCTGATTTCTGCTGGCTACTTTCCAAAATGGGTACTGGCCAGTAACTTCCCTGGGGTGTGTCTGAACCAGAGTAACTCACCAGCCATTGCAGACTGCAGCATCCATTGCTTCGTCCCACTGGTGCATTTCTCCATGGGGGCCTCTGGGGCTGTCAGTATTGACCATGCCTCTGTAGGTTCGAACTGCCCCTCCCATACTATGAGGCAGGGATCAGCGGAAAAGCACTGCTTCTCACCTCCTTGCTCCGCATTGTGGCCCCTTCTTTCTTTTCCCTGTAGGTCTTACTTCTCCCTTCAAATCCTTGCTCAGTCCTGGAGATCCCCTTCTTTCCTCTTTCTCTTCCTCAGATTGCTGTATGCCAGCATCTGGATTCCAAATATCAGAGAGGCTTTTTCTCTGCTTCCCACCACACCTTTCCAGAAGTCCTTACTGTATCTTTTCATTAGTTTGGGAAGAACTGATCTATTGAAAATCGCAAGTTCTATAGTTCATATCCAGTGTTATCCTAGTGTCAGAATGTACTGCCACAGAAGAACAGATTAAACACAGAAGAACAGATTTTCACCTACTCCCATTTCTAGAGGGAGGCAGAGCCAAAACTATGGAGAGATTACAATGACATATAGATGCAGTTTAGTCCTAATCAGAATACCAACAGTATACTTTACAGAACTGGGGAAAATAATCCTAACATTTATATGGAACCAGAAGAGACACAGAATACCAAAAGCAATTTTTGACAAGAAAAGCAAATCAGGAGGCGTTAAACTACCAGACTTCAAACTATAACACAAAGCAATATGATAAAAATGGCATGGTACTAGAACAAAAACACATATGTAGCTCAGTACAGCAGAATACAAGATACAAAATTTTCCCCAGATACATTGAGCTATTTGATCTTTGACAAAGAAGCCAAAGGCATACATTGGAGGAAAGATAGCCTCTTCAACAAGTGGTGTTGGGAAAACTTATTATCAGTTTGCAAAAGATTGAAATTAGACCCAAATCTCCCACCATGTACTAAATTAAGATTAAAATGGATCATTAATCTAAACAATAAAACAGAAACATTAAACTTACTGGAAGATAAAATAGGTAAAACTTGAGGACATGTAAGAAAAAGATTTAAGAAAAGATTTTCTAAACCGAACCTCAATTGCACAAGAAATAGCAGCAACAATCAACAAATGGCATTATATCATGCTACAAAGCTTCTTTACAGCACAAGAGGCAATACATAAAACAAAGAGACAACCTATACAATGGGAAAAAATTTTTACGAGCTACTCTTTAGAGAGAGGACTAATATCTAGAATACATAAAGAACTCAAAAAAAATTTCAACTGCCAAACATTAGAGACCCAGTCAAGAAATGAACAGATACTTCACAGAGGAAGAAATACAAATGGCTAACAAATATTTGAAAAATATTCAACATCTATCCATTCGGGAGATGCAAAATAAAATAGCACTAAGATTCCATCTTACTCCAGAAAGAATGGCAATCATCAGTAAATCAAAAAATAACAAATTCTGCTGAGGCTGTGGTGAAAAAGGAACTTCCCTTCATTGTTGGTGGGAATGTAACCTACAGCTATTATGGAAATCAGTATGGTGATTTCTCAAAGAACTAAAATTAGAAATTTCATATGACCTAGCTTCCCTCTTCTAGATATTTTCCTCAAAGAGTTTAAGACATCACACTACAGTGATCCACGTATACCAGTGTTTACAGGAGACAAGTCATAGTAGTGAAATCCTGTATACCCATCAACAGATGGTTGAGTAAAGAAATGTGGTGTGTATATATAATGGAATACTACTCGACTGTAATGAGGAGAAACGAGCTATTTCTAGGAAAATGGATGCACCTAGAAAATGTAATGTTGAGTGAAATAAATCTGACACACAGACTTAAGTACTATATGATATCTTTCATCTGAGTAACAAAAAACACAAAGTAAGAGAAAAGTAAGGAAAAGATAGATTGAGACAAGGGCATAGCTCTCTTACAGATAGGTAAGTGTCTAGAGGAGCAGGGGTTGAGGGGCAGGGGATGGAGAAATGAATACAGTGAAGATGTGCCAGGTACAATGTCCTAGTAGGCCTCATGGATGTGGACATCACATGCCATAAATATCAACTAAGATTAACATCAACTAGAATGGAAAAGGGTAAAAGAGAACTAGAGGAGGTGGGAGGAAACAGGGAGGGAAGGAGATAAAAAGAGAGTGCTGAAGGGCTGTAGTACATACCTGGGCCAACTCCCCTATTTGATTTTAGAATGCATTTCCTACAAACATGTACTAATAAAATTCAAAAAGAATGGCATATTAAATATTATTATTCTATCTTAAATCCATAAGGAAGGCATTAACAAGTTTTAAGAGGTAGATTTGGGGGTCACAGTACAATCCATTTTCATTTTTAAAAGACTTTTAAGTGTCATACAAAGAATAAAATGAGTCAAGAGTAGGGCTGGGGATTTAGCTCAGCGGCAAAGCGCCTGCCTGGCAAGCGCAAGGTCATGAGTTCGGTTCCTGGTACCGGAAAAAAAACAAAAACAAACAAACAAACGAAAAAAATGAGTCAAGAGTAGAAGTGGGAAATAAAGAGGCTAATTATTCTAGGAAAGAGATGACTCAAATTTAGCTTCAAGTGGAGCATTACAATTGTGTGGGAAGGACAATTCAAGCTACATGTTAGATGTAGATCCCAACACTTTCATGATCAAATGTTATAAAATTGCAATAAGCTCAGCAATTGCATGAAGATTTACAAGTTAAGTACATCATACACATAGAGAAATCTCCAAGTTTTTCCTCTCTATTGCTTTTATATATCTGAATGGATAGGTCTATGCACCTTTGTCCTTGATATCCATAGGACACTGTGATATTAAACATACATAAAAGGGACAAAGATGAGAATGCTCTTGCATTAACAAATAATTAATAATCTTGACAGATTAATATCCTGCCTCTTCAAAATTATCTTAACCGAGGCCCTCTGGTTTGGAGTGCAGTGAAATCTTTATTTCATTAACAGTAACTGGTGACATCAACATGGCTTACAGCTACCGATAACTTTATATCTGAAGTGGGCTGGGTACTGTGTTAGATGCTCCACATATTTTAATCCTAATTCTTGGTAAGGGCATGTAAGAACTACCTATTTTATAAAATGTGGAAACTGATATGTTCAGAGAAGTTCAATGCTCTGCTGAAAGTTGCCCAACTAGTAAACCATCAAGCCTGTCAACACTTTTGCTGACAATTATATTGCTAGTGCCTTGCACAACTACTGGCAAGTCTGGCACGACTGAGCACTCAATAAATATGTGATGGCTGAGTGAACACATCTCCCTCCTTTTCTGTTTATTTGCTGTTAATAATTTGTATTTCTTTTTTCATAAAATACTGTGGTGAAATTTCAAAATGAAATGGTTTTAGTACATAGCTAGGTTAAACTCTCTAAGAACTATGTAACTAGGATTTAAAGTGGCAAGAAATGAAATTAAACAAAGAATGCCACCCTCGAAAGGTGAAGAATTACTTCTGTAGTGTTTGAAAATCTGTTTATAATCTAGCATGCCTCTAATGCTTTATTATCTCTGTTTTGATTGATAATGTAGGTACTTTTGCAGTAACATTACACAGACGTTTAATTGTGTCCATCTTTGTTTTTCTTTTTTAATGTGGAGCTAGGAAAGAAAAGACACACCTTAATATGTTCTGCTAGTCTGTTAAAATATGTTAAGTGAAACTGAACTAAATTAGAATAAATTTGAAGTGAAAGCCTTTTAGATCTATGAGGTGAACAGATTTTGTTTCTGTTTCTTTGCTCTGTTCATTCATGTTATTTTCTTCTCCCTGTGCCTCTTCTAGAAATATGTAGTGCGCTTTTTATCCTCATGAAAATAATCTCTAAAAGCTCATCAGGATATTTGTAATATCATTATTTAAAAGAAAAGATCAGTCGTATTATTATAGATTTGATCATTTGGCCTGAGCCATAATTGTGCCAATGGGTTTTACTGCAAGAACCATGAATTCAAGATCAAAATGACAGAACTATTTTGATGAAAGTTATAAACCATAATTCTCCTACCAAACATTATACTTTTAGGAAAAATTATAGAGTGATAAAGTATGGTCAGTAACCAACTATGTTATGTTTCATGGTTTTCTTCATTTTTTATCCAATACACTCTTTCCCCAGAAACACCACAGAAGGCTGGTATCTGTATGCTGATAGTTCAAATGGGAAATTTGGTGACATTGCTGACCTCTTCACTCCCGTCATTTCACTCACGGGACCAAAATGTACCTTGGTCTTCTGGACTTATATGAATGGTGCCACAGTGGGTTCGCTCCAGGTAATGCTTAGGATACAGTGTTTTCTGAATTTTCTATGTAAAAATGCAAGATACATACTGTAGTGTCATTAAAACACAGTTTCTTAAAAAATGAAAATGGACATTTACCAACACCTCACTGGTTTTATAATGATATAATTGACAGGAAGCTTTAGTAAAATTTCACATTAGTAGCATGTGGGTACTTTCAGTTCCTGTTTAATGTTGCTATTATGTCCAGTCTGATGTTATAGCTTCACTGTAATGACATCTTACACTAGAAACTTACCATGTAAGTTTCAGTATCAATGTGCTGAAAATAACCCCATCCAATGAATATATTTGCTTTGCTGATATTCGCATGTATAGTCTTATCTTTGATACTACTACTGCTATATTTTCCAGTAGTGTTTTTCAGATTATTTCCTGCAGAAAAAAAGTGATAACTGTTTCAAACTCACAAAGCATTACACAAATAGGGGAGGAAACTCCATCGAATGTACCCTGTACTCAGGAATACTTTATCTAAAGAATTGTCTCAGTGATGTCCCTTATTGCAGAAAATGCTATACATTGCACCAAGGTGTTTTATTCTAGTTCCTTTCAAATGAATAATTCTTTACTGTTCCTTAGACTTTTATTACCTTGATATTTTAAAAACTTATAGCTAAGTCATTTTGTAAAATGTCCCTCTAGATAGATTTGCTCGATACATTTTTATACTGATATCACCAAAATTATGTTGTTTTATATTACATCTCACTCATCCATGATATCTGTCAGATCCATTACTTCTGTTTCCTGTATCAGTAAACATTTGTTGAGGAGATATTTAAGGCTACGTTAAAAATCCTGATCTTGATGCGATATTAATCACCAATTTTGAGCTTCATTAGTTTTGTGCCTGAATTAAATTTACTGTGATGATTGCCTAATTATGTTTTTTTAACACATTTATTTTAAAAATATATAATTATGTTATATTTTTGGCATTGCATTTTCTTTTTTTTAAATTTTGATTAATTTTATTGGTATATTCTAGATATACATAATGATCACATTCATCAGAGGAAGTTTGTACCTGTGCATGGTATATCCTGATTCTTCTTTTTTCTGTCCTCTCCCTTCAACCCCTCTTCCCTTCATTATTTTTTCCCCTTCATTATTTACAAAAACTTTGTTTCCATTTTATTCCTTCTATTTTCTTTTTTCTCTTTTCCTTCGTTCCTTTCCCCTTACCCAATACCTTTTCAGTTTCTCACACCAGAGAAACAATTTTAAGCATATTTGTCTGATTTCTTTCACTTGAGAGTACGGACTCTTTTTTTTCTCCCTCAGACCCCCAGTTCCACTTTCTTATGAACAATTTCTTCCTGTTTCACAGTATCTTTTACAAACTTTGGTCCTTATTTACATACTTGGTATCTCACACCAGAGAAATGATGTGATATTTACAGGTGTGTCCATTTTATTTCACTGAAGAGTATGCTCTCAAGGTGCATCCATTTACCTAGAAATGTCTCAAGTTTATTCTTTCTTATGCCTAAGTACTACTCCATTTAATTAAAAAACACATCCTTTTATCCATTTCTCTGTCGAGAGGCATTTGGGCTGTTTCCAAGCTTTATTTTATTTCCTTTTACAATCTATTTTATAGGAAACCATTATAATCTCTGTACTCACTTGTTTACTCATTATTTTATATTGGAAGGAGTCCCTATTTTGTTGAGTGTTTTATAATCTGTTACCACTTGGTCCTTGGATCTTCTCAAATTTGGTCACAAGGGTCCTGCTAAACTGATCTCTCTGTGTCATGAAGAAGCCTCATCATTCTCTGAGAATTTTTTTCCTTTCTGGCTAACATGCTCTAAACTCATTTTTATCCTGCCATGTCTCTGGGATTAGCTATTTTGGTTTATTTCTGGTTTATTTTGGAAGCACCAGATACACAAGCAAAGCAGAGAGGGGTTCTAGAGTATTCACCTAGACCACATGTTCTGTCTTCTTCTACTGCAGGGATAGAGAACAGTCCGTAAGTTTTGTTAGAAATGTACACAGACACATTGCTTACACAGAGGAAGCCAACTCAATGTACCATCTCCATTCATACTGTTCTGTAGCATATGTGTGGCTTTTCAGGTAGCTTTGTCTGAAAAATAAATCCACAAATTCCAGCATTTCTGACCAAGAGTGGTTTAGACCAAAGATATCTATAGAAGCAAGCTGTAAAGATTTTCCTCTCAAAATCCATTAGTTTCACAAAGAAGTCTGAGTTTAGCAGATTTGTAACAAGCTTAGAGCTTCGTTACCTGCCTTGTTTCCTCATTAAAGAGAGGGAAGTGGATTGGACACTAGATGTTTACCTACTAATTTCTCTACAACTTTTTCTTGATCAATTTTAATATTGACCATTTCCCCCTCCCATTTTATTGTTATTTTGTTCTAAAATTTTAATGGTAACTAGAAATACTTTTTTCTAAACAAATTTTAGATAAACACATGTTAAGAATGTTGTTAGTAGTTTTTTTTTTAAATGAAGGTATTAGTTATCAATTTTGGAAGAACTATTGTCTTTCTGAGACTTCTTACCAAGATTAGTTTGGAAGTATATTTGTATACCAATACATCTAAAAGTATCCAGAGAGTCTCGTGGTTGGATATTATACAGTTTTTGTTACATATTGACTTTTCAAAAGTAGGTTTAGGAGAATAATGAATACAATGTACCACAGGGTTTTTATTAGTAAAATGAGAACTACTTATCTGCTGTAATTTTTGGTTGAGATTAACGTTCTGAAATACACTTTCATCTTTTGAGAAAAATATATTGAATTTATAGATGAAGGTTCCAAGGTAACAATACAATTTTGTAAGCAACTAATCATTTAATAATTAAAACATATAATACATATAATCTTTAACAAATAAAGTATTAATAAAGATTAATACATATAATCTTTATTTCTGTTCATGGTTGAACAAAACCACGTTGAACTTATTATTAGTATGCTTATTGAACACATTTTCCTCAGTTTGTGCTAAGGTGGTATTCATACAAGATGTTCTTTTTCTTGTACATTCTTTTCAGTATTCTTCAAATATTTTACTGTGTTGGTAGAAAATTATATTTTCTTGACTTTGGCAATATATTGAGTGTTTTAATTTTATAATCCAAGAATTGCACGATATTGTCCTAGAAGCATATTAGTCAGAAAACACTAGTCGTGTAAAAATAAATTCCCAAAACTTTTACTTTAAAAAGGTAATGATATTATTGAAAGGTTTTACAAACCATATTTGAAGAAGTCTTTGGTTTGATAGAGTATACTTTTTACACAGCAATATTGTGAAGTACATTAGCTGTCTTTGGAAAGTATTCTAACATGTGAAACTATTCTGCTCTTCCTTACAGTCATCCTCTTGCTGACTTATCTTGTGTCATTCTAAAAGAAGGGCCATGATAATTTGTTCAATGAGACTCTTCCAATCTCCTGTAGAGTTACAGTATAGTACTTTGTCTGGCACCTTTTTATCATGATAATAAACACTTAAGGCAATGAACTTATAAAGAGAAATTATTTATTTTGCCTCATGGTTTTGGGAGTTCATGGTTGGTTGGCCTCATCGGCTTTTGACCTAAGGAGAGGCATCACATTATAGAAGAAGGGTCTGCCAGAGCAGTACTGCATACTTCCTGGTTCATAGGTCAAGGAATGGAGAGAGGATGAGGCTGGGTTCTCCAATCCTCTTCAGGGTCTTGAACCCAATGACCTAAGACTTCCATTAAACTCCACCTTGTAACAGTTTCCCAATCAAACCACCCTTGGGGCCATGTCTTTACCAAATGGAGCTTTGAGGGCTATTTCTAAGTATTGAAACTATACCCAAAACTGAATAGAATTTGCTGGTTTTAAGGCTGTTGGTCTGGAGGTTATTACACCATGAATGGATACCCTTCATAACACCCATCTCCACTGTTACAATTTTATGGGCTTACTTTGTACCACTACTGCCCCTCTAAAACCAAGCCATTAAGAAAAGTCATTCTCAAGACAGTGTTTTAGTAATTTCATGATTTGGATTGAATCACATGTATATTATTTAATATATAAAATACAAAGTATTACTGCTGCCATATTTTTATAAAGCTAATGTAGTTCAATCTTAATAAATGGTGCCCAGATACCATAAGGAGTGATTCACAAATGTTCATTTACACCCAAACTATGCGAAGCTTTTGAGGTGCCGAAGCCCATGGTGCTGTACTTTTGTAGTAGCAAACAAAGATATCTAATGGATAATGTCTCATCTTTTCTCTCAGGGACTTCCTGTACATATTAAAAAAATTAAGAATCACTGCATACATTCTACATTTTAAATATACATCAAGACAAAATATTTCAACATCTACTACTTGATTTATCCCTACAGGTACTCATCAAGAAAGGCAATGTGACTTCTAAAGTGTGGGCTCAAACTGGACAGCAAGGTGCACAGTGGAGAAAAGTAGAAGTATTTTTAGGCATTCACTCCTATACACAGGTTTGTTACCCAAGTGGCTATATGAAGGAGTTTTATTACTTCTTCATACTGTTGTTTCCTCTACTCAAAATCTTCATTTCCTCTTTCTCCCAATTTAATATATTGTATGAATGCATAACACTTAACACTCCATGTGGCCTTTTCCACAAGGAATCTGCAATGTTACAAAGCCCTAACTTCATCTAGTTAGACAGCTATTCTTCTAGAAACATTTAATTTGAACGATAACCTTCCTCTGTTCCCTACAACTCCTTCCTTGATTTTGCAGATATATGCTTGGATACTATAACAAACTATGTCACATATGATTTAAGGGCACTGTTTTGAAACTACGTTATATGATTGAAACTTAAGGTAGGTAATAGAGTTTTGTAATTCCAAATAATGTGAGGCACTATTGTGATTCTTACAAATTGCAATGGTATTAAGAAGTTAATGCCAATGATCTCTAATAATTAAAGTAAATTTCAAGTAGTGCATGGATCCAGATATTTAAGCTGAAAATAATTAGTTGCCAAGCTATTTATTATAAATTTTACTTTTCATGGATTATCAAGAAAGTTAGAAGTTTATTTTGAAGATGAAGCATAACTGTTAAGTGTTTTCCTGAAAGAGGTAAAGATATATTATTACACTGATACATGCCCCATGTATATAGCAGCACACTTCATAATAGTTAAATATTGGAATCTGCTCATGTTGCCATCAACATAGGAATGAATAAAGAAGATGTGGTATTTATACACAATAGAGTACTAATGTGACATAAAAAATGATAAATTTGAGTCATAGGGAGGAAAATGAATGCATCTTGATTAAATGCACAGGCTTAATTATCTCATGGTTTCTCTTATATGATAAACTCAAAGTTTAAATAATTTAAAGAGCAAAATAAAAAAAAGAGATAATAGGATACAGGAAGACAGATCTTTTGGAAATGGAAGGAGATTAAGAGATTGAGGAAGGGAGAGTGGGGGAATGGGAAATGGAAAGAATTATGATGTGTTATGCGCATTAAACAACTCGACATGAGGTAAGGAATGATTATCTACTGAAAGGATGCGCTGATAAAAATAAAAGAGAGGAATTATATAAAAAAGACATTCAGATTTTGAGAATCAGTGTAAGGACCCAGAACCTTTATATAGGTGTTTTTTTTTGTTTGTTTGTTTTGTTTTTAAATTTTAAGTATCTGAAACAATTCCGTGAATCTAGCACTACTTGTCTTTAGACAGAAGGAATGCGACCCTTGACAAATACTGCACTGCATTTCTGCTCTTGTGTCTGTGCAGCACAGGTAGCCAAGTTGGCTGGCAGTGTTCAGTAAATATGTGTTTTCTCTGACAATTCAGCCCCTTTCCACTTCAATGGAAGCGCAGACTGAATACACTTATCTTTATACCCCGACACAGCATTGTGCCCAATTTCTTGTGATGATCTGTATAATAGATCCCATACCATTTTCCTCTTACTGGAATATCTGGTTTTCTTTTGGAACATTTGTGGAAAACTTAGGATATGGATAAACAGTGCAACCTAAATTAACAAAGATTGGGTAGCAATTTAATGGTCTTGGACATTCTGAAATTTATTATTAAAGGATTCCAGCTGTTCACTCTCCATGATCTTGAAACTTCTGCTGGAAGAATCCTCAGCAAGAATATGTAGGAGGTTCTGCTGCTACTAGACACATAATTTCATCCCAGGCAATTAGTTCTTAACTAGTTCTAGGCCCATAGAATATTTATGTGATAAAATTATGCTCAAAGTAATATTACAGTGTTTTATGGTTTGTGTCTGTGTGTCCCCCCAAAGCCTCATGCAGTCATGGGGCAGGCTCTTAGAGTTTGATTGATTATGGGTGTGAGAGCTACACCCACACCCCCCCTGGGGTGGATGTTTTGCTTTTTTAGGGGGGGGGAGGGGGTTTTTTGGGGCCTTTCTTCCTTTTAGTGCTTGCTGCTTTTGCTGTGTTCTGCCGCCATGAGCTGTAGTTCTCTGCCATGTGCCACTCTGCCTTGTAACCTGCCAAGTATGGACTAAAACCTCCACAAACTGTAAGCGAAATACACCTTTCCTTCCTTAATTTTGGGCCTCAGGTATTTTGTCCCAGCAACAAGAGAAAAGTAACCAAGACACAGTGTATTTTAGCAAGCAAAATCCATTAGTGTGCTTTTCAAAATCTCTAACTTTTTACATATTAAAATTTTACTACAGAGGTGTACACTCATGTCATTTGAATCTTAAAGTCAAATTTTGATGGCTTGTGAATATTTATCTTTTCATGTGGCTTACTCATTCATTCAGTAAAACTCCTTGACCATCCATTATGTGCAAAAGATGTCACACTGTGTAGAAGCCACTGGATGCTCATGTTTCCGTTCTTATAATTGACTCCCTTGGCCTTATAAAGATGACTACCTGCAGTACTTGAGTAAAACTGTAAGGTACTTTTAGAAATTGCATTCTGCAAAAGCCCTGGGAAGTTGCATTATTTTATTTGGAAGTCCTCAAATTTAAACAAGATCATTAATCCATAAACATTTTAACTAAGTATTTTTTCTATGAGTTTTGAATTATTTATTTGTTTACTGTTGATAATAATCCTATGAAACACATACCATTACAAGTTAATTTCCATTCTGTAGATTATAGTACAGAAATGCCTGAGAGTTAGGAAATTTGTTCTCATTATGTAATTAACAAATGTCCAAGAGAGACTTTTAACCCAAGCAGGTCATCTACACTTCAACTTTTATGCTATACTGTCCCCCAACTATTATTGAAGTTTTTGACCTAGATGTCATTTTGCCTGAATAAACATTGTAGTGTAATTGCTTCTTTTCTTGAGAATGTTCTGTCATACATTCTATAGTACCATTTGTACAATTCTAACAACATTTCTTAGAGCATTGATAAATAATAATTTAATCATTTAAAACATGACTGATTAAATGAGATTGCCTTGGTAGAAAGCCAGGTGAACAAGTACTTGGTGAAGCACTCATTTTCTGAGTTCTTTTTATAAAGTATTGTATCACATATATAAATATTTAGACTATCCAGATAATAGTGTATCTTTTCTCATATCAGTATTGTTCCAGTACTTAATTTCCCTTGTAAGAAAATTGTAGTTCCTATTATTCTTTCTGCTTTCACTTCTTTGTAATGACTTCCAAGCTCTTCTTTTACTTTATAAATTTATTTTTCTGTTTTTCTCATCTGCTGTGATGAACAAATTATTTTCTGTTATGTAAATTCAATATTCACATAATTTCCTTTTGATAATGTAGAAGGCTTTATGATTTCAGTTATTCTATCTTTGAATAGATCTAAATTCATACACTAATATTAAAAACATATCTCATTTTAAGAAAAATCTATAACCACTTCTTTCAACCAAAATAATTGTTTAGCATTTGTTAAAATGTGGTTAGGAGATTGGTAATGGGATTTTGTTCTGAATGACAATGGCAAATCTTTACACTTCCTTACTTCCTCTCTAGTTATACTAAATTTGCTTCAAAATTGTTCTTACGTTAACACATAGGTATTTGCTTTGCAGTGAAATTCAATAGAAACACTGCATCAATTTCCCTTGCAAATCTGAAAAGAAACAACTGATGACTTTATGTTCTATGAAACAGTGTTCACTGCTATTCCAAGCAATGGTATTGTTATAAATGTTCTGAAAATTTTAGTGTCTCCTGTTTTGTTTTTTTATCACTACTGATCTACTAAAGTCTACCTAAGTTAGGAATCATTGTTAAACAATAGAGTACATGAAGCTTCTATCCACTCCAGGCATTAATCAAAGGCAAATGGGGGCCGGGGATTTAGCTCAGCAGCAAGGTCGTGAGTTCGGTTCCCGGTACCGGAGAAAAACCAAAAACCAAAAAAAAAAAAAAAAATCAAAGGCAAATGAAAATCATTTCGATTCCAAAAATGTGGCCAACTAAAAACAACCTGAGAAACCCAGCAAACAAATAAACTCATGATATTGAAGTCTGATGGTTTAACTTTCAAATTATTAGGGTGGACAGATAGGAGCAAAGGCAAAAATTGAACAGCCTAATGGATGTACTCATACCTTCTCTTTCTTAGTACATTAAGTCCACAAATGGGCCCCCTGCTTCCATGGGTGACGAGACTCAGAAACGGGCAGGTCTTGTTTGAGATTTGAGAGCTGATAGAGGCAGCAGTAGTGAGTTGGTGACTCCTACCAATTTTCAAGGCTGTCTATTCTCCACATCTAGATATGAGGCACAGAGTTGCTGCTCTCACCTTCTAAGTATTAAGGAAGTAGAGATCTTTAATAAGCCTCATGTTTCTAGGGTCACCTTTATTGTGGAGGCTTTTATTATTGGAGTGATATGTGATGTTTGCCCCTTGTTGCTTAATGGATATCTTCAACTCTAACTGGATTTTCTTATTCTGTTTTGTATGTTTTTTAGATTGTCTTGAGAGCAAAACGTGGTGTCAGTTACATAGGCGATATAACAGTGGATGATATTTCCTTTCAAGACTGCTCCCCCTTGCTTAGCCCAGACAGAAAGTGTACTTCTCAAGAATTCTCCTGCGCTAACAAGCACTGCATTCCAGGGGACAAGCTGTGTGATTTTGTGAATGACTGTGCTGATAACTCGGATGAGACGGCTTTCATTTGTAGTAAGTGAAAGTATCCCATGTCCTTACTTAGGCCTTTACTTCCCACAATTCACACAGATGATGTGTTTGGTGTTGCCAGACCTAGTACTGGTACATGGCAGTAGCAGATTCAGCAAAGGTAATTTAACTATTTAAATGCAGTATATTCTCCATTTCAATACTTAAGTACTACAGTTTGCTTAAAACCAATCTGGCTTTCTTGTGTATGTAAGAAGTGATCGGAGTCAAGTTGGAAAACCGGCATTTTCAAAGAAAGACAGAATGGTGACAAATCTGTACCTCATAAACAAAATTTGGAAAGAAGGAGCAACTTCTATTAGTCAATTCATTCAGGGCTGGTGAAACTCTACACTTTGAGGCATTTCACAGTTGTCATTTTTTTGGTTTAAATTATCAGATGTGATAAGTTGAGAAACATTACTCTGCAAATATATAAAATAGGCACAGTGATCTCCCAGTACAGATACTGATCAGCCATGTAAAATGATCACTGGAGATCAGGTCATAATAAACAAGAATTATAAAAATATCCTTAGCTAAATGGGCCATACATGTTCATTCATGTAAGCCTGTAAAATCTGGCAACACAGTCCAACTTCTGCCTCATTTGATCACAAATGACAAGAACAGAAATGGTCAACAATAAAGTTGACAAGTTATTCCACTATTACTTAGTAATAATTTCTGAGCAGGAAGATTGAATTCTGTATTATTTGCTTTTGGAAACCAAACCTGGAATACGAAAGATAACTTCAGTATAATAAGATCTCATATTTTAATAGGGGTTATAACTTTTAAACCCCTTTCATTTACTAATTTCTTGATCTTCAGAAAGCCTTCACAGGTATGCAGGGAAGATACGATTAGGGTTTTAATGGATGAAGCTACCAACACAAGTGAATCAGATTTGGGGGAAGTTTATCAAGTTGTGTACTAACAGGCTTGGGACTAGTGGCCAGGTACTTTGATTTATGATCCATTGCTCTACCCAAGCACTATACTCCTATATAAAACATAATCTTTTAAAAAATAATAAATATATAAGTTCTGCAAACATCACATAGGTATTTGTTCCTTGAGTTGTGGAAACTTTTTCTTATAATATACATTTTTTTCATGTGTCAACTAAGGAAAAATACTTGGCTTACCTTGAATTCTGTGCTTAATAATTCATCTTTACCTTTGAATACTTCCTGCTAAATTCTAATTAATTTTTGCCTGAAATGTCTTTATGGTTTCTTCATTGTCATTTTGATTTTAATATCACACAGATCTATCAAGTTATCTGTTAAATAGAACAGATATTACATTTTTGAATTTTTTGCAATGTTTCCAATTTATCTATTTCTTAGACATGCACTTTAACATTTTGGTATCTAAAATATCCACTTATTTATGGCTAACTTTTTAGTGGCTTTAATTAAGACTAAAATTGTGAATATTTTTAGGAATTTCTGTGTTTGGGAAGCATTTTAATGTTCCATGGGTGTTGAAATATATTGAATAGTTCTTGTTGGGAAAATTATTTATGTGAACTATGAAGACCGAATTAATCATAAGCCTTTGGAAGGTAACATGTATCAGAAAGTGCTTTTGAATGAGCTGGTGTTTACTAAATAACTTTTAAGATTTTAGTGGACCTACTCATTTCAGCAACAATGGAGCAAGAAAGTTGAATGATTTCCAGGTAATACATAGGCAAACTTGTTCAACTGTTTATAATAAATTGAAAAATTAGAAGAAATTGAAAAGTAACATGCAGTTTTACATTGGATCTCATTATATAAAGAATGATTTCTTTTTACATATCATTGCTAACTTTTTATTATGTATTTAAAAATTCAACTGTGTTCCCAGTCTACTGGTCTTAAATGTTATGTTTTAATTATAGAGGGGCTAGAATTTGCTACAGGAATTATGAGTGGTGTTATTATCCTGCTTGTGCCATAAACTTTGATGTTCTAATTAGACCCAGAAGAATAGTAAGAAAAAATTAAAAGAATCACCATAGTAACAGATTTCAGAAGTTTGGCTGGCAACTAACCAAGTATTTGGGTTTAAAGCCTACTTCTTTTTGAAATTCTAAGTGGAAGTTAAACATCTAAAATAACTAGGGAAAACTTCTGCAATATGCTGAGGTAGAAATGAACCATCTAGAAATAACACAAAGGATTTTAAAAGATCAACTCTTTTTAAAGACATAGATCCTATCTATGGAAAATAAATAGTCAATTATAATAGAAAAGTACCAGTTTTAATTTTCCATAGACTTTGAAATCAAATCCAGCAGACAAAATGGAAGTTCTGTTTGTAACATTCTTAAATATAAGAAACAGTGAAGGTGCTTTGTGTATGTAAGAAGCACAAAATCTCATGTGGTTATAAGCATCCTTGGCTTCTTTGGAATACAAACAAATATTCTTGTTCCTTTATATATTTTAACTAGTAAATTAATTTGTATTTGCAACTTGGGGCATCTGAAACATTCTCAAAATAATTTAGTTTTGCTCTGTGATTAAGGATGCAGGATATTTGATTAACATGTGTATATATATATACATACATATATATATATAACTATTTACCACCTATAGATATATTATTTTAAGGACACAAAACACTTATGTAATAAGAATGAAAGGTTTTTTTTTTTTAAGATTAAGCTAATTTTGAGACTCTTGATAGATGAAAGTCACACAAAGTATATCTTTTGGGGCTGGGGATTTAGCTCAGCGGCACAGCGCCTGCCTGGTAAGCGCAACGTTGTGAGTTCAATTCCTGGTACAGGAAAAAAAAAAACAAAAAAAACCCAAAAAACCAAAAGAAAACAAAGTATATCTTTTGAATTAGGCTGAATATTAATTGTAAGATTATAACTGATAAATTTCTATTGGAGGATTTGAGAAGAACTTTTAATAATTCATAATCACCTTCCAAAATCACAATAAAATTAGAAAACATTGTTAACCAAAGAGTAATAAAGCAACTCATAATGAAAACTGTGGGATCTTATAAAGCTATATTTGGAGATAAATGTAGTGTGTGTGTGTGTTTGTGTGTGTGTGTGTGTGATTGTGTATATGTAATTATCATGGTAAGTATGTTTTTGTATGAGAAGGAAACTCTTGAAGGTGGTCTGGCACTTGTTACTTTCCTTTTAAATCATTTCTATTGTAGCCATTCTAGTGAGTAGAAGTAGAATTTTACTGTAGTTTTAATTTGCATTCCCCTAATGACTAATGATATTGAGTATTTTTCTTGAGTTTTTTGTAGTTTTGTGTTTTCATTGGGAAATATCTATTAAAATCTTTTGTCCATTTTTATTGGATTATTTATTTAACTTTTGTTGTTGAGTTGTAGGATTTCTTTATAATTCTGGGTATTTGGCCTTTGTCATAGATATAGTTTTTCCAAATATTTACTCTTATTCTACAAAATGTCTTCTTAATTTTTATTTTTAGTATAGTTTATTGCATATCACAAAATTAAATGAAAACTGCAAAAAATTTCTACATGCCCTGTGCTCTCATATACATGTAGGCTCCCCTACTATCAACCAGAATAGTAAAATTGCTACAGAGCACCTACCTTGCATGTCATTTTTACCCAAAGTCCATAGTTTTCATGATGTTTTACCCTTGATTTTAAACCTTGTGTGGTTTTTGACCAATGTACAGTAACACGCATCTATTAGCATAATCCCACAGCATCGTTACATTGTTCTAAAAAAACTTTTGTGCTCTCTATATGCATTCTTCTAACTCACTAGTAACTACTGAGTCTTATTTATTGTCTCCATAGTTTTACCTTTTTCAAATTATTGGCTTCATGTAGTAGTCAGCTTTTTCAGATTCTCATTCTTCATTTACTAGTCTGCATTTCAGGTTATTCTATTATTTTCAAATCTGCCAAAGCTCATTTAGTTTTAGAGCTGACTACATTTCTTTGTTTGGATGTATCACATTGTAGTTAGCCATTTACCTGTTCAACAACATCTTGGTTATTTCTAATTTTAGGAACTATGAATCAAGCTGCTATGAACATGCCTTGTAGGTTTTTGTGGAGATAAGTTTTCAACTCATTTGGGTCAGTATCATGGACGATGGTTGCTGAATCATATGGCAAATTGTATCAGATGTGTTTTCTACAAATATTTTATTTTTCCCCTGGGTTTGTCTTCCAGGTTCTTTTAGCGTATCTTTCGTTAGTTTTTAATTTTAATGAAGTCCATCTTAGCAATTATTGTTTTTATGAATTGTTCATTTGATACTGTATTTGAAAAAGTACTGTTTAATGAAAGCTCATCCATATTTTCTCATATGTTATTTTGTAGGATTTTTATAGTTTAGTATTTTATACTGAGGTACACTATCTGTTGTTAGTTTTTATAAATGGCATAATGTTCATGTCTAAATTAATTTAGATGAGGCTGTCTATTTTTCGAGCACCACTCATTACAAAAGGCTATCCTTTCTGTATTGATTTACCCTTTCTCCAAGTACAAGTTGGATGTATTTCTGTGCATCTCTTGTTTAGTCTTTGTAGTCTCCTTGGTTGATCTGTATCTGTCTGTCTGTCTGTCTATCAGCCATTTGTTTCTGTTTCTGTTTTTCTGGCAGTAGCACACTGTCTTGATTATTAAACCTTTATTGCAAGGTTTGAAGTCAGTAGTGTCAGTCTTCTGCCTTATTCTTGACTATTTTATTGCCTGTTCTTGATTGTTTATCTTTTCATATAATCTTTTATGGTCAGTTGGTTCATATCCACCAAGTCATTTGCTGGGATTTCATTTGGATTTCATCAAATGTAAAATTCAACTTGGTTAAAGAACTTGCTATCTTGATAAAATTAAGTCTTCTTGTCGAGGACATGGAAAATTTATCCACATATATTGTTATTCTCTAATTTCTTTTGTCATCACTTTTGTGTTGTCCTCTTAAAAATATTATATTTTGTTAGACATAGAACTGTTTCATGTTTTAGAGATAGTAATATAAATT